TAATTAATTATAGAGAATGCAAAGTATGCAAAGAATTTCTATACAGTATAATACAGTACTTATAAGAATCTCATTTTTGATGAATTAATAAATTATTTTGATTGTATAATACTATTAAAAACATGTGTAGAAAATGTATGATTTATTGAATTAATTTTGAACTTTAAAGAATGCATTGTATTACTACAGAAATCTATAGAAATATTATAAATTTATTAGTTTATCCACTTTTGGGTTAGAGTTGGTTTGGTTTGGTTTTTGTTTGACATTTTCGGCCTTTTTATCCACAACTTTATTGTCATTCTTAGGACTCCTTTTGTGTTTGCCTTTCCATTCAAAGGCCTCGCTGTCCACCGGTTTGAGATCATCTGTCGGCAAAACAATGGACTCAACACTGGATGAAGGGATGTCCTCTAACAGCGATTTTGTTATTTTGGTTTTCATTGGGCTATCATTAGGTCTCTTATTATTGCCATTCTTTGACCGCTTTTTCTTAACACTTAATACCACTACATAAGCCACTAATGAGACTAAAAATATTACCAGCAAAATGATCATCACTTTATCCAAGATGTTGTTCCCCCTATTGGTCTGGTTTCCCGACGCAATTGTCGTTTGATTACTGCTGTTATTATTGATGTTATTATCACTCGTCTCGAAACTAAACACAAGTTTGTTTTCAAACAAAATGTAATAATTTTTAGCATTTATTTCCACTAACGTTTAAATTAGGAAAATATCAAAGTATTTACAATTGTCTATGCCCTGGTGGCCAGTTATCACTGGAAATATTAGACACAGTGATGGCCCAGTTTAAAAATTCAAACATAGTTTCCGAAGTTTTATTAGTCATTTTTCAAAGAAAATTATTCTTATAAACAAAAATAAATAACTTATAGATAGTAATAATTATAAAAATCTCAATTTGTAAGTATCACTACATTTGTCAGTTTGACTAAGAAATCAAGTTTTTCTACAAAAAGACGTTTCCGTTAATTATAGCTGTATCTGAAATTTTATAACAATTAAAAACACTACAGTTATAATCGTAATATCTATTGCTAATCACAATTAATGCAAACAATTAGCTCTGAATTTTTTGATGAATCCAATCGACATATCGCGAGACTTTTGTATAGACTGTCGGGAATGAGGACTCAGCACAGGCCACACCGTATGATACAATTCCTATGATATAAGCCCTGTTCCCCACCGCCTCTATTAATGGTCCGCCAGAATCGCCCTAAAAAATGGTTGATTTTTAATATAATTTGTTTGTTACATTTAAATTGTGAAATAGACTGTATTGACTAAAAATACGAGTTTTCTGATAAGTTAACCATAAAAATAAAATTATTGTTTGCAAATGAGTTGCTCATTAATTAGTGGTTCATACCATACATGAGTCCCGGCCTCCCTGTCCTCCGAAGCACACCATATTTTGTGTGATATCTCCAATATTCTGGTAGTTTAGGCGACACTGCTCTGTAGGAAATAAAGGGACGACCAGCTTCTGGATTACTTGCGACGTATACGAATCCTTAGACGTCTGTCCCCAACCAGCTATCAGCGCCTCGTCCGGCATCTCATGATCCGCGCGGGGAAGACATATACTATTGATTTGGTATCGACCCGTCCTTTCGTTGATCATGTATTTGATGGGAACGTCGGTCTTATATAAGGCGATATCGTTTAAGTTGTTCTCGCGATCCCAGCGCTCGTGTACTATAATCTTAGCCACTCTTACGACATACCCGTCGCCATCGTGGGACAGGTCATAGGCGCCCACTCTAACCATTAGTTCGTTTTCTCTGCCTATAAAACTAAATCCAATACTATTTAAATTGACATAATTTAATTGGCAAACAATTAATTACTTATCAGAGCAATGAGCGTAAATATGATTAACATACTCATTTTCAATATAGCACCACATGTTTGAGTAATTATATACATTTATTTTTAATTAAGTTTCTGTTTTTAATAAATACAAATCTTTTTTAGAAAATGAGTATGTTAATCATATTTTGAATGAGTAAGCAAGCTAAGTTTGACAAGTTTTTGCAACTATGAGCACGTAGTATAAGATTAAAATGTACAGGTTAAAAGTTAAGAGAAATGTACTAAAATACATTGTCACATAAATATATTTTTAAAATTAACATTTAAAACCCATATTTAAAATTTAATTGGTAATTTTAATATGACATGATATAATTTATAAATAAATTTTATTAAAATTAAAAATCTATGATTTAATAAATAAATTAAATAAAATAAATTAATGATTAAAATTACTTACCAATTGTGAATATTTAAATTATATTTCTAAAATAAAAGTGGTTATAGACAGTGGTTTTGTTTTGTCTGTTTTGTTACAATAATGATTAAAGTAAAAATACTGTATTATTTCTATTAATACTAAATGAATCGTTATGGAAACAGACTTTCTAATAACATGAATAAATATAATTATTTTAATAACTTTGAAAATTCACTTTTATTTCATATGTTACGAACTCTACGATACAGGTAGTCTAGTACATTAATACAACAAATAACACATTTGTACACAACTTTTAAAAACCAATGTATAAATCAATAAATCTAGGAATACATTCAATGACATCTGAATACATTTGTCAAATAATAGTCTGATAAATGAATTATTTTAAATTAATGTCTTTTATAATGAATATATTTTTAAAAATTTTATACAATGTTTTAAAATGTTTAACTACTGATTTTTAGACACAACTGTATACTGTAATTAGTTGTAAAAACTTGTGAAAACATAATTTTCTTGATTTTATTCTCAATTTAAAACTAAATATTGATTTCTATTGTAATAAATACTGAAGTAGTGGTGAGTTCTTTGCTCCTAAAGATTACATATTTGGTAAACAAGTATTATTTGTATAATACTATACTTATTCAGAAATTTCATAATATTTAATAATAAATTAATTAAAAAAGTGTTCAAAATTTGAACTTCAAATTCTATAATCAGTTACTTGTTAACTATTTATATTTAAATCACTATTTCAATCAGAAAATATAACAAGAAATTAAAATCAATTTATTAATCAAACCAATCACTAACAAAAAACATGCATAGATATAATTTGTTTACTTAAGCCAAAATTTTAAATACAAGTTATTAGCGCATGTGTTAAGTACTGCTTAATATTTAAAAACTATTATGTAATGGAAAATAAATCTATTTATAGACAATACAGTATTAACTCCATAATAAATACTGTATTTTGTAATAATCTATTGTTTAATAAATGTGACCAATTAGTGGACACAATTTATCAAGCAACTACCTCTTTATATATAAAATTCTACACAATTTTTACTATAATCCTTGTGGTATACCCTGATAATTCTAACGTTATGTCACAATATTCAAAAGTTTATTTTGCCTTTTAGGATGACATACTCTCATACAACTGTTCATTAAGGAAATGTAGGCGTATTTGCGTGGATATAAGACAGACAACTTATTGAATAGCGTTAATTTATTCACTACTCATCATTAAATAGTGTTAATGTTGGTTAGTTTCATGAAACATAATGTCATTCAATAATTTTATAAATAATTTACGTAATAATGAATTAAAACACATTCAAATTGAGATAAACGTTGACTTCTGTCGGAGTAAATGCGGAATTTTGAGAGCTATTCAAATCGTTAGTCAATTATTACTGTATTATTCCTGATTAGTGAACAATATTTTAAATCTAAACAATTATTTAGGTCATAGGTGCGATATGTTTGCTAACAATATTCATAAGTTGTTATAACAATTACGATCCCTATTATCAACACAATTCGGGTTTCATTGGCGGTAAGTGTGAGACAGCATTCTTGCTAATAGTCTGGTCATCACTGATGTGGTCCACAATACTTATGGTGTGTTATGTATTCTCAATGCAAATGTCAAATGTGATCCCAAAAACATATTTTGTGAGTAGATTTCTATTGTATTCCTAGTGCTGTGAAATTAATTTCTCATTTCGTAGGAAATTACAATAAACTCCATATCATTGGCATTGTATGCGATAATGTCATTAATCTTATTGATCGAAATATCCGTCAGAAATAGTGATACTATTAATGGCATAAAAGAGCCGGGATTTGCAGGAAAAATAATCGCCTCGGTAGGTTTGCATACATGTGTTGTTTTATGTTTAATAATTTATTATATTATTTGTAAGGCTATTAATGTATTTCAATACTACAGACTATAATTAACTACAGATGAATTTTATATTTTTATATTTAAATTTAACTTTTAATACATTATTCAATATTTCACGATCAATAAATTTTATTGCTAATTTATCTAATTTCTTAATAGGTGTTTGGTTTACTAAATTCAGTGGTCTATTCATTGAGTATATTTTATTTCTACAAACTTTATAAAACATTATTAGATGTCGTGTGAATGACATTCAATATGTAAAGCGTCAGGACATCAATACATCATAATTGCATTTATTATTGTAAATACAAAATCAATTGTATATAACATTGAACATTCTTGAATTACATACTATAAGTTGTCATTTGAATATACATTTTATAGTTCTCTATGCGGTAATAATAACTTTAAAAACACACACATTAAACATTACAAACAAAACACTTTACTTAATGTATTCAATAAAAATATGCGATTAACACAAACTCATACATTAATTGTATTTAAAAAGCCAAGTATTTTCATAAATACTAGAAATTCTGGTCCAGAATCTGGTATCAAATTCCGATCCCGTATTGTGTGTGGAAATGGAGACATCATTTGTGGGACCAGTGGTGACGTGAGAGTCACGTGACATGTCTTCACACATCAATTCAAACGAAGAAATCCTTGAAATGAATGCGAAATCAAAACAAACCTCAAAACACACCACAAGTTTGATTACCACAAGAGTTATGCTGTGATTGTGACCATCGGAACCAATTATACCATTCCTTATATCATCCACAATGTGCTCATAGCTGGCCGTCGTATCCGTAGCTCAAGAAGTTGTAGGTCTCAAGCGTTGTACCAATTGGTGGACGAGTGGATCAAGTGGTGACCCATTGAGTCCATAGTCACATCCATAGTGATCATCAGCGGTGGTGTTTGGGAAGCGTTGGCCAGTGATGTCCATCTCAAACAACTCGTTGTACTCATGCTATCTGCGGTCTGAAGTGAATCAGTTTACCTACGAGTACACCATCGACGGCATCCGAGAACGCAATCACCATCTCATCAAAAGCGGTGTCTTTCACGCGGACGAGAGCTCCTGGAGTCTCATAATCGCACCCATAGTGAAGAACATCACCGACGGGAACGAGTATTTGGGGGTCTTCTTGAACAGGGAGTCGGGAGACAAAGCCGTTTGGACTAAATACACGTTTTCGCTGTTGAATTGGTCCACGAATGACAAGTTCAACGCTAAGACCAACTCGTGTTTCTTCAACCAAAACACTGGTCTTCACGGCCAGAGAGCCACCAATGGGTTGGTCACCAGTGGCTCCATGAATGGCAACGGCAGTGGTGGTGGACATCAGCGCCAGAGATCCGCTGGGCATCAGTGGTCGCCATTGAGTGATAACATTGTCTTAAATCCCGGTATGAATTGTGTGTTTAGATTGCGGTGAATGTCATGTGATTTAATGGTAATTACTGTCAAATCTATAGGTAATTACGAAGTCCTTCGCTTCGAGTTCTCTTCGCCGCCCAATCCGTTGCTGTCGTCCGCAAGAGATGTCAACAGAAGTCCAGTGCAACTGAGCAGCAAATCCTCTGGCATTAAGTCATACATAACCAGAGACTCGCTCTTCGACGCCAACAATCATTTGGTGGATAACAACAAGATTACCATCGCTTGCGAGGTATGCCTTCAGACCTCTTATTATCACAGATTTCAATGATTGTCTCGTTTCGTGTCCGCAGATTTGTTTGTATACAATCGTGGATCCGTTGGAATCGCTGGAGAGATTCGACTTAAACCTGTCTCAAGACTACTCGGCGCTCCTGAAAGACGGCAAGTATGCAGACGTGAAGATCATAGCCGACAGCCAGGAGCTGAAGGCGCACAAAGCCATACTGTCCGCCCGTTCCCCGGTGTTCAACGCCATGTTTAGCTCCGAGATGTTGGAGACGCGCGAGAATGTGATCCGCATCGACGACCTCAGCCACGAAGTGGTGTCCGAGTTGTTGACATTCATGTATTCGGGGAAAGTGGCGAACCTGTCGAAGGTGTCCAAGGAGTTGCTGTCGGCCGCAGACAAGTACGAGTTGCCACAACTCAGCGAACTCTGCGAAAAGCATCTCATGTCCAGCGTCAGCGTGGAGTCGGCCCCCGAGATACTAGTCCTGTCGCACCTCCACAAAGCCGCTAAGTTGAAGGCAGTGGTCATTGAGTTCATAATCGCCAACCGTAAGGATGTCATGAAAAGCGATAACTGGGATCTCATTCGCAACGAACCCTATCTGCTGGAGGAGCTCTTCACCGCCCTTTCCAATCAATTCGACAAATTCGGTGTTTATGTCAATTGATGTGCATTTTATGAGTTATAAATATCTCTAATTTTATGTATTAATTAAATCTCATATATTTTATTCTCATGTTTTTCTCACATATTTTAATGCTATTTATGAATACGACTATTCTCTATAAGTGTCTAAACATTATTAGTACCGGTAGTAATTTATTGTAATATAAATACTGTAGATTTAAAATCTTGTCATTTCTTATTACGAATATTAATAGATTTTATAGTATTTTAACATTTGTTTTATGATTCACATTATTTATAAATAGCAATAATTTTGATTAAATTCAGTGCATTATTGATTAGAAAACATATGTTTCAATCTTTACAGTATTATAAGAAAAATGTTTGATTTATTGTATAATAAAAATGCTGTAATCTATTGTGTTTTAATCAATATACTACACTTTAATGGTAACAAAATACCGAAAATGACAGGAAAACCCCTTGATATATGGTGGTAGAGTATGAAAGGTGGGGTTATATCATGGTGAATAATAATAAGGTGAGTAATACCCCCATGGGAACGGGCTATACATGTACCTTATATAGTTTTATATGGTATTACCCCATGGACTATGAAGGTAGAGAACGGGTATGGAGGTATATAACCGTCAATACCTCCATGGAAATTGTGTATTTTTAAAAATGGTTCAAACCCGCAAATAACCCAGGAGGTATTTGCTGTTGTTTTCGGTATGAATTTGAGTTTAGTATATAATTTTTAATATAAATTTAACGTTAATTAACAATTAGTAGCAAACAGCCAATTATGCGAAGAATGTTATCCTGATTACGATTGTCTGGAGGAATGTCTATCCTATTATCGAAGACTCCATTCCCGCGACGACTATAAGAATACATTAAGATATTATGGTCTCAATACTGTGGACACAAACTCAAAGTTTTGCGGTTTAAATAAATACGGCACTGGACTCAATATCTCATCATTTGGCAAAAAAATAAATAATTTTGATAATTTCATCGAAAAATATTGGTCACAATTATTTTCCTCTACATACAATCTATACCATCATTTTATGGACAAACCCACTCACAAGAGTATATTCGTTCAAACGAGAGTTGTAGGCGGAGTAGTCGCCACCAAAAATGACTTCCCGTGGTTGGTCTCACTTAATAAGCCACTGTACGGCCGGTATGTCCACTACTGCGGCGGTGCTATCATTCATGACTACTACATACTAACGGCCGCTCATTGCTCTGATAAGTAATTAATTGTTTGCCAATTAAATTATGTCAATTTAAATAGTATTGGATTTAGTTTTATAGGCAGAGAAAACGAACTAATGGTTAGAGTGGGCGCCTATGACCTGTCC